CGTCCTTTTTTTTTTTTTTTTCCTTTTCTTTCTTTTTTCTCCCCCTCCCTTCGACGGCTTCGCTCGCAACAATTTTCAAAACACACTTTGCGTTTTACGAATCTTGCTACTCTCGGTCGCGAGAGGAGGGATAGTTATCGATTTCTCTCCGCATTTTATTGAGTTTCTTCCGCCGATTTTCCAGCAAAATGGCGGAAAAGATCGCATCGATCTCCGAAATTCTTTTCGATTATCAAAAACTCGAACGAAACAAATTCGATTCAAGAACGACTCACGATATATATATATAATTCCACGCAATCTCGATTTCCATTCGTAGATTCGATCGAAATACGCGAAAAAGTACTTACCGCCCCGGTTTCCAACGACGCCTTCTCCGGCCTGGTAACTGGAACAAAAACGAAAACCCTCGATTAACCGACTCTTGCCTTCTCTGTGAACTCGCTTCGTTTTCTTCGCGCGTATAAAATAAATATGTAGAAAACAACGCAGAGAAAAAAGAGGAAAAGAAAAAAAAAAAAAAGAAACGGCGCGAAAATTGAAGTTGGAAGGAAACAAATTCCGGATTTTTAACGAGGATTAAAGTTTAAAACGGGAGGCAAAGGAAGGATATAATAAAGGGGAGGGAGAAAAAAGCGGCGAAAGAAGATCGGCATGAAACCGGACAGAAATGTGACACGGAATGTGGGCGAGCGGAAAAGAGTTCATGAATGCGACGAGGCGGAAATGGGGAAGGGAGGGAAGGAAAAAAATTTGCAAACGTGAAAAGCAGAGGGGACTTTTTTCCCTTCCCCATCCATAGTGAAACTAACTCTCCCTCTATCTCCTCTGCCTCGAGCGCGGCGGGGAGCGCACACAACCCATTTCCTAGATTCATCTGCTCGTCATAATTAATTCTGGAAACATCAGAGTAACGATGGCGGAGCGCCGTTTGTTTTCTATCCTCGTTTTTATAATATTTCTCGCTTTAATTATATATATATATAATTCTCATCCCTCTTCCTCTCTTTTTTCCAAACTTGCCCAATTTTTCCTCCTCCTCCTCCTCCTCCTTCTCCTGAGATCCAAGTCTATTAAATAGAGATATATTAAATTGCTAGGTTCATCTGCTCGTCATAATTCTAGAAATATCAAAGTAACGATGGCGGAGTGCCGTTTGTTTTCTATTCTCTTTCTATATATGCAAAATTTTCACCATTCTCTTCCTCCTCTTTTTACAAATTTTTCCAATCTTTCCTTCTCCTCCTGAGGTCCAGGATCGAAGTCTATTAAATAGAGATATATTAAATTGGTAATAGGTTCATCTGCTCGTCATAATTATTTAATATAATTAAATAATTCCATATAATTTTAGAAACATCAGAATAAAGATGGCGGAGCGCCGTTTGTTTTCTATCCTCGTTTTTATAATCTTTCTCGCTTTAATTATATATATATATATATAATTTTCATCCCTCCTCTTCTCCTTTTTCCAAACTTGTCCGATCCTTTCTCTCCTTCTGAGATCCAAAATCGAAGTCTATTAAATAGAGATACTAAATTGCTAAATTCATCTGCTCGTCATAATTCTGAAAACATCAGAGTAATGATGGCGGAATGCCATTTGTTTTCTATCCTCGTTTTTATAATATTTCTCGCTTTAATTATATATATATATAATTTTTATTCCTCCTCCTCCTCTTTTTCCAAACTTGCCCGATTTTTCTTCCTCCTCCTGATCGAAGTCTATTAAATAGATTAAATTGCTAAATTCATCTGCTCATTATAATATATATAATTCTCACTCTTTTTCCTCCCCTTTTTACAAATTTTTCCAATCTTTCCTTCTCCTCCTGAGATCCAGAATCGAAGTCTATTAAATAGAAATCTATTGCTAGATTCATCTGCTCGTCATAATTAATTTTGAAAATATCAGAGTAAAGATGGCGGAACGCCGTTTGTTTATATATATATATATATATATATATAATTCTCACTCATTCTTTCTCCTCTCCTTTTTCCAAATTTGTCTAATCTTTCCTCCTCCTTCTGAGGATCGAAGTCTATTAAATAGAGATTTATTAAATTGCTAAATTCATCTGCTCATCATAATTCTGGAAATATCAGAGTAACGATAGCGGAATGCCGTTTGTTTTCTATTCTCTTTCTATATATGTAAAATTCTCACCCCTCTTTTTACAAATTTGTTCAATCTTTTCTCCTCCTCCTGAGGATCGAAGTCTATTAAACAGAGATCTATTAAATTGCTGGATTTATCTACTCGTCATAATTAATTTTAGAAACATCAGACTAAAGATGGCAGAACGCCATTTGTTTATATATATAAAAAATTCTCACCCCTCCTCCTCCCCCTTTTTTTTCCAAACTTGCCCGATCTTTCCTCCTCTTCCTGAGGATCGAAGTCTATTAAACAGAGATCTATTAAATTGCTGGGTTTATCTGCTCGTCATAATTAATTTTAGAAACATCACAGTAAAGATGGCGGAGCGCCGTTTGTTTATATATATATATATAATTCTCACTCATTCTTCCTTCTCTCCTTTTTCCAAACTTGTCTAATCTTTCCTCCTCCTCCTGAGGATCGAAATCCTTAATTAAACAGAGATCTATTAAATTTCTAGATTCTTTAACGAAAACCCTTGCTCTTGCACACGAAGATCGAGAGAAATCGAAATGTAAAGTTCGAGGGGATATATAATAACGATATTCCTTTCCATTTCCGGACTCGATCGTTATCTGTCGCGTCCCTGGTTTCAATATCGCGAGACGAAATTTTTCATCGAAATTCGTTCGTGGATAAAAGGGAAACGGAGGTAGAATCTTTGGAAACGGGAGTTTTTCGAACGAATTTTCCAACCTACGACGACATATTCGCTGGCGACGTTTTCTGCACGGATTGAGACACGGCAATGATTCGTGATATCGTGATATCTCACCGCTGGAAAATTCGCTGGAAATTTTTCAGCCTCGCCTCGGCCAAATTGAATTAAAAATTCTCTTCGAAATCGCGGTCTTAATTCGTCAAGCCTCGAACGTGTCTATTTAACGAAAAAGTTTCTAGAAAGATTCCATATTCGAATGCATCTCTCCTCGAGGATATATATATATATATATATATATATGTATCTTGAGCCTCGGCTATTATCAATTCGATAGAACGGAATTAATAATAAATTGAATCTCATCCACCCGGAATAACTTGATTAGGGAGAGGATATAATTCGATAGAAGGAAAGTTAGAAGCGTTTAATTTATAACACGAATATTATTATATAATTGTGACCTCGAGAAATGAGTCAGCAGTCGAGAGATTATCAATATATTCGAAGCAATTCTATTCTAGAACGAAAACATCCTCTCCTCAGATAATCTCTATTACAGATCCATAAAATTAGATAAAAAAAAATTAATTCACGAAGAGAAACATCCAACAGAAACCAAAACCTCTCCATTTCCCCCATATTATTTTCGAATAACAAGAAAACGAAATAACTCTCCAATTCGAAGCGTCTTCTCCATTCGATCATCGAATATTTTCGATCTAAAAAAAAATAACTCGACTTTGGAAACAAGGTCCAAAATACACTTGCTCTCTCCTCGAGAGCAAAGGAATTAAGAAATTTCTAATCTTCTTAGAAGCCATATCTCCCTCCTCTTGCTATAACTCTTTCGACAAGCAAGGCGAAATCGATCGAGACGAAAGTTGTAGCAAACAACTAGTTGACAAAGGTTGAGAAAACGTGGTAATTGCCGTGGCCTGGTTTTAATCGAGGCTCCCTCTTGACAGAAGAAGGAGGAGGAGGTAAAACGTCGATTAAATCGTTTTGATCGCGTGGCAACGTCGCCTCCTCCTTCGAATAATAATTTTCGCGCGAATCGAAAACATGGCGTTGCAAGGGACTCGAAAACGAAGAGGAGCAATAACGCAGGAAATTAATCACCTTGCATTGATAACGTATGACCGCACGATTTTTCCCCCTTTGATCGATACCACGTTATTTTTTCCCCCTCCCTCCTTTTTTTTTCGAGAAGCATGTGCTCGAATTCGAGTAAACTTTAATATCCGCGTTTTTCCATTTTATTTCGAGAATTTATGGTTTTTTTTTTTTTTTAATTTATATATGTGTATGTCGCACGATACGTTGAATACGTTTAGGGAGGGGGATATTGGATGAATTGACGAATAAAGAAGAAGAAATCGAGAATACAAGATGGCGAAATTGTGTTATTGCTGTTAATAAAGCGAACTGGGTTTCGACGAGGGGATAATAAAGTGGGAGAAATTTATAGTTTTGCGTAATTATCTGGATGACGCGATACAACGAAACGAAATGAATTAATTAGTCTCTCGGCAGTGCATAATTTTGCGATTAAATTGTTGACTTTAATCGACGTGTGCGGAAACGAGCGATAAATCATCCCTTTTCAACAAAACCGTATGCAAACAACGCAACGTGTTTGCTCAAAGCCGGAATACGATTTGCGAGGCTTAAAAAAATGGCGAATAATTTATTCGCTTCGATATATATATTCGATCGTTCCATTTTTCTCTCTCGCCTCGTACTGGATCTCATTCTAACGTTCCAATACAATTCGAATCCTATTAATTTTACCGCCAAGTTTAATATTTTAGATTAATCAAAAATCGAGGAGGATCTTCTTTTGGAACGATTTCGGATGGTATCGACAGATTTATTTATAATGCATTTTCTTCCATTCTAATTTTGATCACACCACTTTACGATTATTTATGGTCTTTTTATCTCTTCATACCTCCTCTTTGTACCATCAAAGGGACAAATTTCGATCTGTTGAAAAACTCTTACAAAATTTATTATTACGATTATAGAACGAAATAATGGCAACACTCGTATACGTCTCGCAATTATCGCTTCGAATTTTTTTAAGAAATCCACGTTCTGAGCTACGCCACTCGAAGAGAACTTAATTTCTCTCCTTTCTGGCACGAATCCAAACGATACGATTTTAAATATTTTTATTCGCGATATCTTAACAACGCAAATCCGTCCATCTTTTGAAAAACTGTTACAAAATTTATTATTTATTATATTATTTATTATTTATATATATTATTATTAAATTTATTATTATTACGAAATATTACGAAAAATTTATTATTATAGAACGAAATAATGACAATACTCGTATACGTCTCGCAATTATCGCTTCGAATTTTTTTAAGAAATCCATTTTAAGTTCTGACTCGTTTCTGAGCTATGCCACTCTGAGAAAAGAATTAATTTCTCTCCTTTCTGGCAAGAATCCAAACGATACGATTTTAAATATTTTTATTCGCGAAAATTAAATTTATTATTACGATTATAGAAAGAAATAATGGCAACACTCATATACGTTNNTCGCAATTAT